AATTAATAAATAAGCTCAAGGGCGGAGAAAAGCTCTCCTAAAACGAACATGGCGAGGCATGCGAGCTATGCCACTACTAAGTTAAAGTCAACACTTGGCTCACTTTGGGAAATGTTCTATTTATATTTAATCAAATAATTTAAAATTTAAAAAATTTCAAAACTTTGTCATTTTTTTGTGAAAAACAAATCAAATTACATTTTCATGGTTTCAGTTAAGTATTGCAAAATAGAACTGAACGTTGCTTAAAATATTATTTTTGCGTCATAAATTGGTATAATAGCAACAAGTTTGTCATTTTTAAATGAGTTTCCATTTTTTCTGTTGGGAATAATGGCTTAGTTGTGACATTAGAAAGGCTTTTAAACTGACGAATCCATTTAATAGGATGTGTGCTTCACCAAAATGACTTACCACTTTACCATGTCATAGCTGATCATATATAAGCTATGAAGCAAGTTTTGAACATAAGACAATTAAGAGAAGTAAATCCTGATGTCAAACCAAAAATCAATGCAAAATTAATTATGTCTGATAACTTTAACTGATTACTTTATACTTTTTTCTTAAGAACATTTTGTTTTGTTTTACAACTTTAAGTTCACATACCAATGTCCAAGGGTATTTTTTTCTTGACTAGTCTCAAGAATTATTTTCAAATAGCAAGTCTTCAAATAGCAAGTCTCTCTCAGCCCTTAACTTCAAAATCACTCTTTTGCAGAAAAGAATGTTAAACGCTGTAATTTTAAAAATAAACAGGGGCTAAGGCAGTCAGAACCAAAGTTTAAATAGAAAAAATGAAGTTTAAAAAAAGTTAGAAAAAGGCGAGGAAGGTTAAGATTATGTGGTAAATATTAATTCCATAATATTCAAATATTCTAATGGAAAGAATATTTGTATCAAAGTTTGTACTAAAGTATAATAAATATTGATAATGCCATAAAAATGAATAATTCATTGAAAACAAGAAAATACTTAGAAACTTTTGAACCATTTTCCAAAATTGCCCTTAATCCAATTGGTCTGAAATTTTCAGGATTGTCTTAGAATAATATTTACAACAAATCCTAAAGTGAGCCAATATGATCTGAGAAAATAAGTATATTTTGGTAGTGGCTTAATATGAGCTGCTCCTCTAAACTGCTTTTTATGAAAGCTTTTAGTTTTTGCACAAGCTATTTGTTTATTTATATAAAAGTTGCTTATTAAATACAAAGTTTGGTTTTATACTTGTTACAAGCATATGTTTATAACGTTAATGTTACAAGAATATTGTATAACAATCGCCATTTATTGCGTTGTGAAACTCGTGAAAATTTTTGCGAAACCTGTGCCTTTTTATTATCCAATTAATTAAATTTTTTTGACTTAGTGTTTTTCATTTTAGTGTGGGCAAGAGCGGGAAGCAAGAGTTTAAGCTCTTGTTTCCCGCCGAGGCCTGTATATGTATATATGTATATATATATATATATATATATATATATATATATATATATATATATATATATATATATATATATACATATATATTAATATATAAATATATATATATATATAATATATATATATGCATATAATATATAATATATATACTATATAATATATATACTATATAATATATATATATATATATGCATATAATATATAATATATATACTATATAATATATATACTATATATATATATATACATAAATATACATATATATATATATACATATATATATATATATACATATATATATATATATATATATATATATATATATATATATATATATATACATATATATATATATATATATATATATATATATATATATATATATATATATATATATATACATATATATATACATATACATACATATATATATATATATATATATATATATATATATATATATATATATATATATATATATATATATATATATATAAATATATATATATATATATATATATACTAGGGTTGTTCGCCGAAAAACAAAACTTGCGAAAATTTCGCATCTTTATCTACCGTAATAGAATTGTTATTGCGGAAGTTGCACATGCAAAAATGCACATTCCGTAACGCGCTATACGAAAATATAAATAGTAAATAAAATTCCGTAATAAAGCATTGCGAAAGAAAACTTGCGAAACAAATCATTTCGTAAGAATACTTACGAAATAGTTCCTTACGGGAAAAGCATTCCGGAATGTGTAGTTACGAAAAAGACGCAAAAGATTTTATGTTACGATATATTTAAGATATTAACTGTTAACAGTTTAAATAATAAATAATAAAATTATAAAAAAATGTTGTCAAATGATTCTTCAAATGTTTATACAATTATACCTAATATATATATATATATATATATATATATATATATATATATATATATATATATACATATATATACAGTAAAATCCCGTTAAGTTGGACTCTCAATGAACAGATAAACAGTATGCCTTTTTTTTTAAAAAGTATAAAGAGGATGTGTGATAAACAATTAAATACTTTATTATAAAGAACGAGAGATCTCTCTAAAGGTAAATGATATCAGAAAGAGTAAAAAGAGAAGAAATATATGTGAAACAGCGGGATGTGAACCTGGGTCTACGTGGCCAAATGTCTTAACTGAATGAGCTATACGTTCATTCAACTAAGTGAATAGTAATATTTATTTAATATATAATTAAGAAACTATATAAAACAGAATTTACAGAAAGAGATACGTATGCAAATAGGATTCTATATATCAGGAAAATGAATAGTAATGTGAACCTTTAGATGCTTATAATTAATATCTGGACTCAAAAACTAGTTACTTTTAATGGAACACAATAGGCTGTAGGAGCCTCAGGGAAATTATATTCAGAAATGGTTATAATAGACTCAGAGTTAGCTAGAAATTATTACAAAGTATTTAGGACAGATGTTTAGTACAAAAAGCAAAAGATTTAAAGCAAAATGATTTATATTATTTGAAAAAGTTGTTTTACGTACATTTCATCATAATTTAAGTAGAACTTAGTAAAGCAAGGGAAACGTGTTGAATTAGGCACAATGAACTCAATCTTAAAAGAATAACTAACAGAAGAGAGGTTGTCACTATTGTGAAGGTGACGAAAGATCTGTAATATAGAACATGGAGGTCAAAAAATGCTATCTTAAGTAAAAAGAGTTTGATGAACAAAAGTTACAATGGCTGCGGGATGCGAACCCGGATCTCTGCGGCGAATTATCACGTATCTAACTGATTGAACTATACAATCTTATACTCAAATTTATATCTTATTAAAATTAAAAAACAATATTTTCTAAGATCTATATTTCGAAAAGCGTATTCAAACAGGACTCTACATACCTTTAAAATCTGCTAGAACTTTAGTAACGTGCACACTTTTAGAAATTATTGAAATAGGTATATTTTATCAGAAATATGCTTAAGCTAAAGCATATTTTTCAGCCTCTTTTTACTATTTGCTTAAGCATATTCGAACCTATTTCGAAAATTTCATATGCTTTAAAAAAAAATCATGTATATTCCTACCCATCATTCTTATTTTTAATATACGTAATGAGTTCAAAAAACATCGTTGTATATATTTATTATGGCACGTTTCGTAAGTTTATTTCCGTTAAGAATTCTTTCGTATGTTGTGATCCGAAATACTTTCGTTTCGAAAGAAATTTTATTTTTTATCAATATTTCTGAAAATAAAACCATAAAAATTTAATAGTTATTATACTGAAAATAAAAATTCATTATAAACATTTTGGGATTTAAAGATGTTAATTTTTACAATTAAAATTAGTCTGGCAAACAAATTTTCTTTATAGACTTCAAAACGTCGTTTGGCGAAAATGTTTGTTTCGCAAGTGCGACTTCCGAAACCGCTACTTTCGTATGTTGCAAAATAGTTTTGTTTCGTATGTAAACTTGCGAAATGCTAAATTTCGGAAGTGGCTTTTGCGAAATGAACATCGGCGATTTTAAATGTTTTGTAACATTCGGTACGAAAAAATGTAATTCCGTGTTCTCAATCTCCTTACGAAAGAATGTTGTTTTTCCGGAATTGCACGAAATCCTCCGGTTAACAACCCTAATATATACATATATATATGTGTATATATATATATATATATATATATATATATATATATATATATATATATATATATATATATATATATATATATATATATAAATATATATATATATATATATATATATATATATATATATATATATATATATGTATATATATATATATATATATATATATATATATATATATATAAATATATATATATATAAATATATAAATATATATATATATCAGGGCTTGCCATAAAGCGTCGGGCGATGTGAATTTTACGTCGTCCAAGAGCGATTTTGTGTGTAGCTAGGGCTATTTGCGTCGAGCAAAAAATTTTTTGTTTGAGTATATTTAAGATATTTTTAAGCGGAATTTTTTTTGAAGTAATTTACGATTATTTTAACATTTAATAAAGTATTTTAAAAACCGCACGCAGTTGAAATAAAAGTTTGAATTGAAAAAAAATTTAATATGCTCATTATTTACAAGTAGAAAAAATTCAGATTAAAAAAAAAGTTTAAATCTTTTAAGCTAACATTTTAATAAAATTATTCAGCAATAGCAAAGTTGTCGATAAAATTGAACAAAAATACTTTCTTTTAGTTTTAGATTTTAAACTTAAATAATTATTTTAGGGTTTGTTAGGTCTTAAAATTATTTCATAGATTTAAAAATATTTATTAACTGTTAGACGTATTTAAAGTATTTAAGAGTAATTTCGAGGAAACATTTTAAAAATTGGTGAGCGCAAATAAATAAAAAAAAAGGATTAATATTAAAACGTATTCTACTTGATTCAATAAAAAAGTACAGTTATTAAAATTTTTGTAAAAAGTAACTCAAAAAAATTACTTAAATAATAACGATCGCTTTTATGTTAAAAGTTACCGAAACTCAATGAAGCGTGCTCAAGAACAATAGAACGTCAATAGTTTTTCGAATAATTTTTAATAATAATTTTTAAGAATAATTTTTTCGCTGAAATATTTATTTTATACCTATAAGATTTTTATTCTAACATTTTATTTTATTTTACTAGAAATAAAATTCCTTGTTAACATTAAAAATCTATTCAAAACGTTTGTTTAAGTTTTTTATTAATATGAGTGATTGTGCTTATCAACCGCTTTATGAAAATAAATAAAAATAAATAAATAAATAAATATTATATAAAATCGCTTGTAAAAATATTAGCTATTGCACAGTTTTTAATCGTACAATATTAAAATTTCCAGTTTATTACTCGCTGACTTTTTAAAAAGAAAAAATAATTATTTGAAAAACTTTAAATTACATATTTAAGAAAAAAAAAAATCAAATATAAGCATATTTTATAATCTTTTTTAAATTTAAGTTATAATGTTTTTTATTCATTTAGTATAGACAAAACCTGACAAACGTCGAGAAAATAAACAAATGTTTTTACATTTAAAAAAACGAAACATTCCAAAACATTTTTAAATAATAACATTTCTACATAAACGATTTAAAGTAGTTTTGCGGTAATTAAGTAAATTGGTGCAGTTAATGTCGATAAATATGAAAAGCAAATAAAAAGAATTTAATGACGTCAAAAATCACGTCGTGCTTATGCGTCGTGCAGTTCTTATTCATCGCAAGGCCTGTATATATATAAATATATATATATATATATATAATATATATATATATATATATATATATATATATATATATATATATATATATATATATATATATATATATATATATATATATATATGTATGTATATATGTATATACAGGTCTTGGCATGAAGCGGGAGCGATCGCTCCCGTCACGTGAAACACACTTGTTAATGGAATATTTATAAATTACATGCGCAATAAAAAGCGCTCGTTAATTTAGTTACAAGAGTAAAAAATTGCGTTTGTCCTAAAAATTTTAGGGAGGGAAAAAACTAATAATGGTTTACTTAATTTTATATTAAATTTTTTTTATAAAAATTTTTGTTAAAGATTCTTGGTTATTTAAACAAAAAAGTTTATTAATAATATTAAATTGTGTAATAAATACAAGTTAATTATGAGAAGCGTTGTTAATTTAATTTTGTAAAAGCATTTGCTAAAAACCATATGTATAATAATAAATGTTTTTTATTTAATTTCAAAAAAAATATTTATAAAAACTTTGTGTTTTAAATGGAATAGTTTGTTTATCGTTAAAAACAAAATAATTACTATTCACATACTTTTAACAGCGTTTAGGTAGTCGAAGTAAAACTTTAATTTACCAAATGACGTAGGTTAATATTTAGAAAATGAGTTTAGAATTACTCATTTTCTAAATATTAACCTACGTCATTTGGTAAATTAAAGCATTAGAAATGTTTTTGGCCAAAATTTAACTAAATTTAAAAAACTTTTTTTATTAAAATTATAACTTATATTATTTATAACTTAATTAAAATTATAAATTTATTTAAGAAAAAGAAAAGTTTAAGTTTGTGAAAATGTTTGCTAAAAAAGTTATAAAAGTTCCATTAGCTTTAGCAACGAAAAAATATTAAATATGTTTTAACAAAAAGAAATTGTTATTTCATTGTTTTAATGTTTTAATGATGCGAAAATATTATGAATTTATATTTTAATTAAATGAATGAAACAATGAAAAAAATGTTAGCTTATGAACATCTTTCAAATGAATTCGATGTGATAATAAAAAAAAAATGAATGTAGTATTAAGTTGAAGATGAAGATAATAACATAGAAAATAAAAATATATTTATTCTTTAAAACAAGATCATTAAGAACTAGGTGGGGAAAAAGACTAAAAAAATATTTGGGTTTTACGGGCATGAATCATCGCGCTGGACAATTTTCTTCATGCCTGATAAGGCCTGATATATATATTTATATATGTAAATATATCTATATATATATTTATAGGGGTTTTAAGTTTCGTCGAAACAGCAGTCTTCCTACTACTGGTCTGTTAACAAACAGTTTACCTACTTTTAGTCTACCTAACAGCAGTCCATCTGCCAGCAGTCTACCTAACAGCAGTCCATCTGCCAGCAGTCTACCTAATAAAAGTATACCTACAATCAATCTTCCTACTAGCAGTATATTAAACAACAGTTTACCTATAAAGGTAAGTTAAACATTTACATAATTTTTTATTAAAAACATTTTACTTTTAATAAGAATTTTTATTACTTTTTTTTGTATAAATTAATTACAAATTAAATACTTAATAAAAAAAATTATATATATATATATATATATATATATATATATATATATATATATATATGTATATATATATATATATATATATATATATATATATTTATATATATATATGTATATATATATATATATATATATATATATATATAAATATATATATATATATATATATATATATATATATATATATATATATATATATATATATATATATATATATATATATATATATATATATATATATATATATATATATATATATATATATATATATATATATATATATATACAGCATGGGCCAAAAAAACAGGCTAAGAAATTTTATGTGGTTTTTTTACAAAATTTCTATGTAAAATATACAGAAAACAAATTTAGTGACTTTATTTAAAGTATCAATTTATAAATATCATGCTTTTAACACATATATTTTAAATGTATATACATATATATTTAAAAAGATAAAAAAAACTAAAAAATGTTTTTTTTGAAGAAAATCAACATTTAAGCATTAAAAGAAACATTTTATAATGTAATGATGATTTCATAAATACAAAAGTATTACCAAATATACATAGTATAAAATAATTGTAGGCAGAATTATTGTATTTATCTTGAAAGAGCCATTTTATTTGAAACAAAATCTCAAAAACTAGAACTTGGTCATTGCACCTTTTGCAGCTAAGGCTGCTTTGATTCTATTAGTCAACAAGCTTTGTTAATAACAATGGTTCTAAGCTATTCCATGCCTTTTTTACGCAATTGAAAAGACAAACTTCATCATTACACATTCTTATTTTAATTTTATCTTTGAGTATTGACCATAGGTTTTCAATTGGATTTAGGTTGGGAGATTGGCTAGGCTACCATTTCAGAGTTAGCATATTTTTTTCAACATATGCTTTGTTATATTTTGCAGTGTGCTTAGGATCATTATCTTGTTGAAATAGATAGTTACCATAGTTACCATTTGGAAATAATTCCAAGCAACTTGGCTTTGCATTATGAACATGAATACCATGGTACTGGTATTGATCCATAATGTCTTTAATCTTGTGAATTCTTCCTGTAGCATTAAGCCTAAGTGCAATGTTGATCTTTGATAGAAGAGGTTTTCTGACAGCCCAATGAGAATCTAAATTTTTACACTCATGTAAACGATGAATTATGGTTTTTCCAGAAATATTGGTAATACAAGTTTCTGCTTTTATCCCATCTGTAGAAATACAAGGGCAGCTTGGACAATGCATCTACCTTCTCTTTTAGTAGTTTTTCTCTTTCTTTCTGATCCAGATCGACGGACTGTTTCAAATGTCTCTTTATATTTCTTTAGAAAATCAGTAATAGTACTTTTTCCGCATCCAACCTTGCTTGCAATATCTCTATGAGTCATACCAAAGGATGACATCTCAATAATTCTTTCTTTACTAATGTCATTTAAAACCATTTTTATATATTATATATTTATTTAGTCTAAAATGTAATAAATTAGCATATTTCATCATTAATAAATACATCTCAGATTTTTTTTATATATACAGGGTTAGGGTAAGGTTAACCCTGTCTATCTACAATTTATATTTTATTACAAAATAATCAAATAACTTAAGAGTTATTTAACCACAACTATAACAAATAAGAGCTCAAATAAGAAATTGTTGAGAAAAAAAGAAAAAAGTTAACTTAGACTCAATATGAAACTCTTTTTTAATATAAGAAATGAGATATAAGACATTTAAATAAACAAGAAATATTCAAAAAGTTGAGAAACTGGTTTAAATATCTGTGAAATGCTTTTAAAACCCATAAAATGTAAAATTTTCTGCAAAAAAATCTTTGCTGTTTTTTTTTGACCAATACTCTATATACATATATATTTATAATATATGCATATATATATATATATATATATAAATATATATACATATATATATTGTATAAATAGTTTTAATTTGCTAATTTTAGAGTAATGAAAATAAATGGTTGCAGAAAATAAATAGGTAAAAATAAAATACAAATCAACTTTATTATAAATTATTTAATTTATAAAATAAATAGTAATTGAAATAAAATTATTAAATTTTTTTATTGATAAAGGAATTACATTTATTAATTATATATATATATATATATATATATATATATATATATATATATATATATATATATATATATATATATATATATATATATATATATATATATATATATATATATATATATATGTATCTGCCATAGCATATTTATATGCGCAATTGCTCACTTTTTTTGCTAGCCTAAATTAAGTGAGCATTTTTAGAAAACGATGAGGGAAAACGAAGAATAATGAATGAAATGTTGCTGACCCATACCAAACCCTCAGTCGATGTAGCAGCACTCCACGGCAAGTCAGGCTATTTGTCAGTCAATGTATGTACTGAAGCCCCCGGCAGCAGGCTATTTGACATTAGGTGAGTATGACATCATCATGCTCACCTAACTCAGCAGTATAAGATATATATATATATATATATATATATACATAAATATATTGTACAATCATGATTTATAAAATGTTGTAAAAAGTTCATTTTCTCAGCTATGATAGTGGCATCATAAAAAAACAGGTGGCTAGGATATCCCCTCTTGTTGCACCAAATAATTTAGCAAATTCATTAGAGAAAGTCATTCATAATAAAGATGAAAGAGCTGAAAAAATGCCAGGTTTGTTTTATCAAATTTTTAAAAATTGACTTATATTTTTTTTACTATTTTTTTGGATAATTCTGTTTAAATTTTTAAGTTGTTTTTTTTAACTGTAAAAATGATAAATTTTGCAAAATTTTTTCTGTTCATCAACAAACTATAACAATATTTTATTAAATTTTAGAACTCAAATATATAAAAATATATTTTCTATTTACCTGAAATGCCCAATTTTTAGCTATTATAAAATAGCTTGTCAATTTTTTATTGCTTGTTAATATATATGCGGTATTGGTGTAGTGGTAAGAGCGCTCGCTTTGTAAGCGAGTGGTTCGGAGTTTGACTCCTACCACGTCCCTGGAAGTACCGCGCTCAACTTAATTTCTCTGCGCAGCAGTCTTGCTTGTCGAGGTTCGTGTTTTGGAGTTAAAGAGTTGAGAGAGGGTTGTGCCACGATTTACAACAAAAAAAAAAAAAAAAAATGAGTAGCCTCCTCGACTGTAGTGGCCCCCTCGGGCCTTGGGGAGGTGAATAATTAAAAAAAATAAATAAAATAAATAAAATTCAAGATTAACAGCAGACTATAAAATCTCCAACCATCTAAAAAATTGAAATATTTTCACAACAAGATCCAACCATATAAAACAAATTCATTTTCACAACAAAAATGTCAGTATTTTTTAGTACTTTGACTTTCAAAATATAGTTTTATTATTATTTTAGATAGTTATTTTTCTTTTTGTAGAAATCTTGAATTTAAAAAAAGATAACAAAATAGAACTGCAGATAAAAACCAATAGTTGCCCTTTCGGGTAACTTTATTGCATCAAAGGTTTTTATTTTGGCTTCACAAACTTCTGTTGCCTGGTACTGTTGGGCAATTCAATTATCATATATACCAGTTAATTATAATATATTCTATTAGAAAGTATATTATAATTAACTGGTAGTAGTTGTTTGGTACATTTACCAGAAGTTAATTCATGTGGTTGTTGTTACATATTGTTAATCTCAAGAAACAATAAATTGTGCTACAATTAAATCGTACAACAGGAGTTTTTAGGAAATCAAAAAAAAAAAAAGTTTTTAATTTCTTTAGAAGTAATAAGTGCATCAAAATAAATATTTTTTAAAATTAATTCAAAATTCACTTATAAAAAAATGTTTTTTAATTCTAATTTATTGTCAGGTATCCTGTTACTGGTAACATATAATCCAGTGCAACAATGTCCTGCTGCCTTGTAGGATTTGCTTTCTAAGCAAAAGCTAGAAGAAGTGTAATTCCTGTCATCAATACTATCTAATAAAATCATGCCTATAGTGATATCCTTTTTTGTCTTATATATAGTCGGAGGTGTTGTAGTTACTGTGTTAGCTCACCTATAATTTACTATGCCTGGTAATAATTTTAATGTGCTTTGTTGAGGCCACATAAGCAGAACTAAGTTGCGACTTAAAGTTAATTAGCAGGACTGAGATAACTACATAGGGATGCCATGCTTTATCTATGAGTGAGTCCTCTCAAAGTATATCTTTGAGTATCTTCTTATGTATAAAAAGAACTTATCTTTATACTTAAATCATGCCCAAAGTACCTCAAAGATTCCAATATTCACATGCTATGCATTCGTAAAGACTCCAATATTCACATGCTATGCTTTGAGGTATACTTATGCATTAATTCACTTATTTGTCAAGATATTAGGTTTGAATCCTTTGATTATTCATTTATGTGCTTCCACTTAGCACCTCTTCACTCACCTTTCTCTTTGTTCTTTATAGTTTACCTTCTTCTCAAGACTGCACTTAGATTTAAGTTAATTTTAAATTTTTTTTAAAGAAAGTTCAAACAATTCAGGATATAGATTTAAATCAACTTAATATTTTTTGATCTCTTATTAAAATTTTTTTTTTATGAGAGATCAACACTGGTTTGATTGTATATGAATGTAGCAGCATGTTATTGCCAGGAACAAAGGGTTATATTAGGATAAAACTTTTGATTATAGATAGGAAATTCAGAAGCAACTCATTCAGAAGTTTACCAGAAATATAATGGTAATCTGGGACACACTCAGTAATTGTTTATTAGTCTCCGAAACCAGTTGTTGAAATTTTTTGAGCACAACCCTGACTCCAACTCCAACTCTGACTCCGACTTCAACTATAAAGCAAAATTTTTGTAAAATTCTTTGAATTCTTTAAAAGATATTATGGGATAAGATAAAAATTTCTTTTTTGACAAATTTATGAAACGTTCTTTGAGGTTTAGTATGAACATAAGGTTAATTGAATGTTTTGTACATGCACATGTAATATCGAGAAGTTTTACTATTGGAGTCGGAGTCGCGATTTTGTTTAACAACTCTGAGTCTGACTCTGCTAATAATGTCTCAACTCCGACTCCACCGCCCTGTTAGTAACTAATAATGATTTTTAATTTTAAAAAATTAATGAGTAAGATATAAAAAATATAACCTAGTGCAAAAATAAAAACTCTATGTAGTTACTTGACCAGTGATTTTGTTGTGAAAACAAAAATTATTTCAGATGCAATTAACCAAAAATGGGCAGTAATTGATGATCAAATGAAACCTTTTTAGTTTATTGCAGACAATAGTAGATAATCTACAAACCTAACCTGTAAAAATTTGTTGAATTAAAAAATCCTAAGTTAAATTTGAAAAATGCAATAAAAATTAAAAAAAAACGCAATTTTTAAGTCAAAAAATATCCAAAATTAAGTTCTAGAAAAAATGAAACTTTTTTTAAAAGTTAAAAATGTTAAAATTTAAGAAAAAGTTATGTAGCTTTAAAGTTGTTTTTAATTATTCTATAAATCAAGAAGTGCCACCTAAGAAGTGTCACCTTTTTTTAAGTCTTATCATGGTCCATATATGTTTGATATGATTAAGATGGTATCATATATATTATTTGAGATCATTAAAGAAGCTTTTTAAAATTTCAGAAGTGTACATTTAATTGAAAATATTTATATTGAATTATGCTCTTAGCAGAGACATTGCTAATCTTGCAACAGCTCGATTAGCAATTGACTTTATGTTAAGAAATTTAAACAATCCAATAGTAATTTAAGTAGAGAGCTGTTAATGAAATGATCACTTAAATAAATAGCTGAAAAAAGTAAGAATTAGCAGAGCTATTAGATTCTCTTGTACTGTATATGGTACTATGCCTTAAAAAAAAACAAAAACATTTACAACAGGTTTGTTGAAAAGATTATTTGATGGAGATGAAGAACAGCAACCCACACATTATGAACATTTAACTGAAAATAATAAAAATACTTCAGGAAATGCACTAGCATTAACGCTGGAAGAAGAACTACATAAAATATAAGAAAGTGTGATATGTCCACTTTTGCCAAGTTTAATTTATATATTATATAAGCATATTTTATATTCAAATTGTTAAAAGTTAAAAAGTTAGATTGCTGATCTTAAAAAAGAATTTTACTTATATTATATATTATAAACATATACTTTGTTATAAAACCTTTGTGGTAGTCATGGGGACTATTGGAAGTGAAACTTCAAATGTACTGGCAAATGGATACACTTTTACATTAGAATGAATGCAATTATTTGCATTCATTCTTATAGTTTGATTGGTCATCTTTGGTTGTCCATATATATATATATATATATATATATATATATATATATATATATATATATATATATATATATATATATATATATATATATATATATATATATATATATATATATATATATATATATATGTATATATATATGTATATATATATATATATATATATATATATATATATATATATATATATATATATATATATATATATATATATATATATATATATGGACGACCAAATATATATATATATATACATATATATATATATATATATATATATATATATATATATATATATATATATATATATATATATATATATATATATATATCAGGCCTTGCGATGAATAAGAACTGCGCGACGCATAAGCACGACGTGATTTTTGGCGTCATTAAATTCTTTTTATTTGCTTTTCATATTTATCGACATTAACTGCACCAATTTACTTAATTACCGCAAAACTACTTTAAATCGTTTATGTAGAAATGTTATTATTTAAAAATGTTTTGGATTGTTTCGTTTTTTAAAATGTAAAAACATTTGTTTATTTTCTCGACGTTTGTCACGTTTTGTCTATACTAAACGAATAAAAAATATTATAACTTAAATTTAAAAAAGATTATAAAATATGCTAATATTTGATTTTTTTTTTCTTAAATATGTAATTTAAAGTTTTTCAAATAATTATTTTTTCTTTTTAAAAAGTCAGCGAGTAATAAACTGGAAGTTTTAATATTGTACGATTAAAAACTGTGCAATAGCTAATATTTTTACAAGCGATTTTATATAATATTTATTTATTTATTTTTATTTATTTTCATAAAGCGGTTGATAAGCACAATCACTCGTATTAATAAAAAACTTAAACAAACGTTTTGAATAGATTTTTAATGTTAACAAGGAATTTTATTTCTAGTAAAATAAAATAAAATGTTAGAATAAAAATCTTATAGGTATAAAATAAATATTTCAGCGAAAAAATTATTCTTAAAAATTATTATTAAAAATTATTCGAAAAACTATTGACGTTTTATTTTTCAGCAGCTGTTCTTAAGCACGCTTCGTTGAGTTTCGGTAACTTTTAACATAAAAGCGATCGTTATTATTTAAGTTAATTTTTTGAGTTACTTTTTACAAAAATTTTAATAACTGTACTTTTTTATAGAATCAAGTAAAATACGTTTTAATATTAATCCTTTTTTTTTTTATTTGGGCTCACCAATTTTTAAAATGTTTCCTCAAAATTACTTTTAAATACTTTAAATACGTCTAACAGTTAGTAAATATTTTTAAATATATAGAATAATTTTAAAACCTAACAAACCCCCGTAAAATAATTATTTAAGTTTAAAATCTTAAACTAAAAGCAAAGTATTTTTGT